AGTTAATTCATGAACACGGACTAAACTTTTGAAACAACTAATAATATACTAAGAAACTGCTGCCTTTTCTAATTCAACGCATATCCAACCATGTCCGACTTCATAGAGAGGTTATTGAGATCTACAAACATCCCAACAATTTCAACAGAAAAAAAGAAAGTAAACGGACCAAGAGAAAGTGATAGCCAGTACTCAAAAAGGCGAGAAATGGACTAGAATACAATTCCCATCGACATCACACCAGCAGGATACTTGTCCACAACGTGGACCAATCAGAGCGACTAATCAGAGGACTAATCAGAACGACCCAGGAAAAGTGCGGACCAATCAGGAGTGAGCATTTGCGTGGAGACAACGCCATTGCCTCGCCACCATCCCTACCATTACCCCTACCACCCTCTGAAATTATAAATACGAGCGAACACGTAGCTCGCCAGTTAGTCGTTGCCGTTGCATCTACCACTGATGATGTCAGCTGCAATAGCAGATGAAATAATTGGTACTTCAGGTTTCATTCGATCACGGCCTACCAGCCCGGATTATATTCTTTCCAAATGGAAATGTATTCAAAAAAATACTCAGATAGGTTTATTGTTGAATTTATTCCATTTGGCTGTAACACTAGGAAAAGGAAATGACCAATGAAAATTAACAGCACAATGAATATTTTACTCACATGGTTTCTATAAGTGAAAACAAATACTTCATATTCAAAACGAATTGTTTAAAAAAAACTTGTACAGGAATAAATTGAAAAAAAATCCATCGAATAGAGTACCTAAAAGTGACCGACTAAAATAGTGGCTAAGGAATTAGTTATCAATAAACAAATCATCACCACGAATATATTTACACAAATTAGATTTATTGGACTTAGTCGAATAAATTCANTATCAAACAAAAAGATACGAGAAATCCTGACATTTTTCATATACATTTTTTCCATACCAATTATGCTTTGAACAGTCCGATTCCTTGTATTCTGAAGCTGGAAAATCAACATTATAATAAGTTAGATATGTTTAATATATCACTTCAGGAATTAAAAAATCAATTGAAAAGGTTATAGTGTTTTCGAAACTTTTCTTTACCTTTCCATTTTCTTCGTAAGTACCAGATTTATTAGATCTTTTTTCTTGTAAGTACCAGAATTGTTTCATCTTTTAGTAATGTAGTCACTAGACATAAGGAATTATTAATATTTTGTATTTCACACTTCGCTAAATGTATTGTAAATTGTAATGTAGACATCAGATATGAGCATTCAAAAATACTTTGTAGTTCCTCACACTTTGTTAAATATGTCTTATAAGTTGGCTTTGCCGTTGAATAAATAAATAAATTTGATTGGCCAGCGTAAAGAGACTTTTTTATTTGGCCCAATAGATACAAATGTTCGTGGTGATCATGGTGAACGGAATTTCGGAGAACTTGTGTGATGAAATATCGATTTTTCTTCCAAAATTTGATTTTTATCATCATCAACGTATAAATCAAAAAACTTGTTATTGTTAAATTTTGAAGTTGACAAGAGTATTGATTTGTAGGGTATCTCTAAGAATTACATATTAGAATTTAGCATAAAATCAAACAAGGGATAAAAATTAGGCAGGTCATTTCAGACGGAGTGAACCGTCTGAGTATCCTGAGTATCAACTAGTCATAATCTGCAGTTGATTCAATAGGATGTACACTGCGCCACCTGCAGACAAAGCTAGGAAACAGCTTCACAAACACATACTCCGGAACGGTAGTCAGAATAATAAATATATTCCGGAGAGGTGCATATGAATGCCCAAGTTCAGGTGGAAAACACCTTACCCCTTGCCTCTCATGTGGACCTACGACTTTGTGGGTCTGAAATGACCTGCCAGTTACTGACGAGGGGTAAGTACACGGAAGTCGTCTAAATTAATTTCTGCTTTTTATATATATGAAGTTACTTGCAACGAATCTTCCAAATGGAAGACATCGCACAGGTGCCTAATGGTTTTACTTCAGCTTTCTGCGCGTCATTAGCTGGGTTAGTAAGCTCATTTTAATGGTAGATTGTAGAAATTAAACTAACTTGCTGTACGATGCCAGCTATTATTTACAACGAATCAATCTATATAAAAACGCACAGGTATTTGTACACATTTAATGCAGATACACACAATTATCTGACTAGAATGAGATCCCGTATCGCTATTCCCAATAATAGATTAACCTCTACTAATAAAAAACTTATTGGTATCAGGTTATTCAACTCTCTACTAGAATTTATTAAAGAAGCTCCAATAACTATGTTTAGAGCAGAAGTGAAAACTCACTTGTAATGCTCTGCCTATTATGACATCTCTGAATTTACATTTCCTCAATGTTAGTTAAAAACCAGTGTATAATACTATTGAACCCATGAAAATGAATTTTTTAAACTTTATAAATTTTGAAATTTGGAATTCAAATATCAGTGTTGTGAAAATTTTATATTGATAACTGTGAAATCTAATATCTATATTTTGATCTATAATTTAAACAATATTTCTCGTTCGATTGATGACTTATTTATTTTGTAGAAATTCATGTTGAATATAAAATAAAGAAAATACTTTTGTCTAGTTTCTACTGTGTTTATTTATTCGTTACGACCGGTTTTGGCTTATAAGGCCATTTTCAAGTAATT